ACAGTTAGGAACTTTTTCCTAATGTCCAACCTAGACCTCCCTTGCTGCAGTTTAAGCCCATTGCTTCTTGTTCTATCCTTAGAGGCTAAGGTGAACAAGTTTTCTCCCTCCTCCTTATGACACCCTTTTAGATACCTGAAAACAAGGATTAGGGAACAAACAAAACAAAGCTAGGGAACAAACAAAACATAGCTAGGTCCCTTTAAAATTGAATCCCTTGATAAAGTTTGTTTTGCAGTGCAGAGACCCTGAGACGGTGCCACGCTCTTTCACATTCACAAGGTTTTCTTTGCAACTACAAGGGTAAGAAACATCATTTGTTTTTAATGAGACCTTACATTCTGTGGTGTGCTGTGGCCTCAGAGGATTGCTGGTCTGAGGTACCACTACATCCTGCCTCCGTCCTGCTTAGTTTATAAGAACACAGCAGGTAGATCTTTCTATGTATTATATGCAACTCTGTACTGTAAATTCTCATCTGGGGTTTGTTGACTCCCCACTTGATTAGTCAGTTTGTTTCATTAGTCCTGCCTTCCCACCATCCACCCCCCATCTCCTCCTACTCCCATCCTGGGACTGGAGCATAAACTAAACTTGTCAGTGTCCAGTTGTCTTCAAAAAAGGGATTGAGAACAAAAGAGCTGCATCAGTTGCGAAGAGGAAAGGGTCAGGGGAAGGACAATTGGCTAAAAGCATGATCTTGAAATTCAGTTGCTGTCTGGTTCTTGGAAATGTATTCCCATCCCTCAAGCAGACCAGTGAAATTAAGCAGGCTGGTATCACACTTTTTCCTCTTTACTATCACCTAGCTGCACACATTCATCATTGATCCCACTGCTATAACCCTTGTCCACACTTTGGTGATCTGCCATCTTAATTATTATAACCTTCTCTTTTCTTGCTTCAATATCTTTAGTCTGTCCAAAACACTGCTGCTAAAGAACACTCAAATAAGAGGGTGTTTGGGGTCATATAAGCACCAAGACAGAATTTCACTCATCGGAGATATTCCAAGGCTAAGATATATTAAGTCCTTTGCCTCCCCTAGAGCATCTTTCATCTGAGGATCTCAAAGTGTGTTGCAAACATGAATTAGTTAAGCTTTGTAATACCTTTAGGGGCCTTATTTTCCCACCAGAGGGTATGAGTAATTCCCACTGACTTCAGTGAAAGTTATTCATTTCCTGAGGTAGGAGACCCAGATTTCTGTGAAGTATGAAATTGTTACTATCTCCATTTTACAGATCAGGAGACAAGCATGGAGAAGTGAAATGACTCTCCCATTGTCACACACTGAGTCTTTGACAGACTAGGAAAACAAACCTAGGAGTTCAGATTCCCCATCTCTTATTCAGACCATTGTTGTTCCTGCCTCTCCTCCACCATCAACTACTGCCGTTACTTTAGGAAAAAATAACAATTTTCAGAAGTTTTCATTAGTTCTGTGTGCCTCAGTTTCTGGGTACCCAACTTGAGATACCTTGGCTTAAAGGTATTAAGGCACCTAATTCCCATTTAATTAGGCCCTTGTGTCTGATGTTCATAGGTTCTCAGGATTTCAGTAGGAGTTATGAGTCCTGAACATCCCTGAACATTCGGCACAATATGCCTCAGGTCTGCCATACAGAAACTGAGGCACACAAAATTAGTGAAAACTGAATATTTAATTTCCCATCTCTGTCATGCCATGATGCAGGAGATGGACTGGATGACTGTCAGTTCTCTTCTAGTATTAGTGATTTGATGAATTAAGGGATGGTGCTAAGTCTGGTAGCCTAAAAACAGTCCTGTACCAAAATTTTGATTTGACAAGTGCTTTTTCTTTGTACCATGATTTGGCTCTGCCTGTCTGCTCAACCCTGGACAAGGTTATTGAAAAATACAAGAATCCTACTCTGGGAGAGTGACAGAGAATATTTCAATGCCCTGTCATAAATGCAGAGACAGGCTAGTGTAATATGCTGTCATATGCCAGCAAAGATATGCAGCAACTTGAATTTTCATTGGCAGGCTGTCCAGCAGAGTAGCTGCTATTTTATCCAGCCCACATTTTGGTTAACTGAGAGATTATCTGAGATCAGAACAGGACAAGTTTTATAATTTTTAGGGCCCCAAGCTACCAGAGGAGGGATTGGGCTATGAGTTAACTTCCCCCTGCAGTCTCACAGTGCGGAAACTAAACTGGCCCATGCCCTGCCAGATCAGTACTTGCCCCAAACATAGGTTCCCAAGTGATTACATGCCTACATTACTGTGCAAGAAGAAGGTCAGGGAAAGTGTGGGACCCTTACTGAATGAGGGAGGCAACATAGTGACAGATGATGTGGAAAAAGCTGAAGTACTCAATGCTTCTTTTGCCTCGGTCTTCACAGACAAGGTCAGCTCCCAGACTGCCACAAGTACTCCTGTTCTTTTTACAGTATGGGGAGGAGAGGAACAGCCCTCAGTAGTGAAAGAACAGGTTAAGGCAGGAGTTCTCAAAGTAGGGTTCGGGACCCCTCAGGGGGTCGCAAGGTTCTTACATGGGGGGGGGTCACGAGCTGCCAGCCTCCACCCCAAACCCTGCTTTGCCTCCAGCATTTCTAATGGTGTTAAATATATAAAAAGGCATTTTTAATTGATGGGGGTGGGTCTCACTCAGAGGCTTGCTATGTGAAAGGGGTCACTAATAAAAAAGTTTGAGAATCACTGGGTTAAGGACTATTTAGAAAAGCTGGATGTGCACAAGTCCATGGGTCCAGATCTAATGCATCCAAGGGTGCGGAGGGAGTTGGCTGATGTGATTGCAGAGCCATTGGCCATTATCTTTGAAAATTCGTGGCGATCGGGGGAGGTCCTGGATGACTGGAAAAAGGCAAATATAGTGCCCATATTTTAAAGGGAAGAAAGAGAACCCAGGGAACTACAGACCGGTCAGCCTCACTTCAGTACTCAGCAAAATTATGGAGCAGGTCCTCAAGGAATCCATTTTGAAGCACTTGGAGGAGAGGAAGGTGATCAGGAACAGTCAACATGGATTCACCAAGGGCAAGTCATGCCTGACCAACCTGATTGCCTTCTATGATGAGATAACTGGCTCTGTGGATATGGGGAAAGCGGTGGATGTGATATATCTTGACTTTAGCAAAGCTTTTGATACAGTCTCCCACACTATTCTTGCCAGCAAGTTAAAAAAGTATGCATTGGATGAATGGACTATAAGGTGGCTAGAAAGCTGGCTAGATTGTCGGGCTCAACGGGTAGTGATCAATGGCTTGATATCTAGTTGGCAGCCGGTATCAAGCGGAGTGCCTCAGGGGTGAGTCCTGGGGCTGGTTTTGTTCAACATCTTTATTAATGATCTGGATGATGGGATTAATTGCACCCTCAGCAAGTTCGCAGATGACACTAAGCTGGGGGGAGAGGTAGATATGCTGGAGGGTAGGGATAGGGTCCAGAGTGACCTAGACAAATTGGAGGATTGGGCCAAAAGAAATCTGGTGGTGAGGTTCAACAAGGACAAGTGCAGAGTCCTGCACTTAGGAAGAAAGAATCCCAGGAACCGCTACAGTAAGGGTTCTCAAACTGGGGGTCGGGACCCCTCAGGGGGTCACAAGGTCATTACATGGGGGGTCGCGAGCTGTCAGTCTCCACCCCAAACCCCGCTTACCTCCAGCATTTATAATGGTGTTAAATATATAAAAAAGTGTTTTTAATTTATAAGGGGGGGGTTGCACTCAGAGGTTTGTGATGTGAAAGGGGTCGCCAGTAAAAAAGTTTGAGACCCACTGCGCTACAGGCTGGGGACCAACTGGCTAAGCAGCAGTTCTGCAGAAAAGGACCTGGGGATTACAGTCGACGAGAAGCTGAATATGAGTCAGCAGTGTGCCCTCGTTGCCAAGAAGGCCAACGGCATATTGGGCTGTATTGGCAGGAGCATTGCCAGCAGGTGGAGGGAAGAGATTATTCTCCTCTATTCGACACTGGTGAGGCCACACCTGGAGTATTGCGTCCAGTTTTGGTCCCCCCACTACAGAAGGGATGTGGACAAATTGGAGAGAGTCCAGCGGAGGGCAACGAAAATGATTAGGGGGCTGGGGCACGTGACTTACGAGGAGAGGCTGAGGGAACTGGGGTTATTTAGTCTGCAGAAGAGAAGAGTGGGGAGGGATTTGATAGCAGCCTTCAACTACCTGAAGGGGGGTTCCAAAGAGGATGGAGCTCGGCTGTTCTCAGTGGTGGCAGATGACAGAACAAGGAGCAATGGTCTCAAGTTGCAGTGGGGGAGGTCTAGGTTGCATATTAGGAAACACTATTTCACTAGGAGGGTGGTGAAGCACTGGAATGGGTTACCTAGGGAGGTGGTGGAATCTGCATCCTTAGAGGTTTTTAAGGCCCGTCTTGACAAATCCCTGGCTGGGATGATTTAGTTGGGGATTGGCCCTGCTTTGAGCAGGGGCTTGGACTAGATGACCTCCTGAGGTCCCTTCCAACCCTGATATTCTATGATTCTAAGAACACTCAGATGTCTTACCCCGACCTTGTCCCCTGCCTGACCTCTGACCCTGTCCCGTCTGACCTCTGACCTACACAGACCATAGCCAAGAACACTCAGATGTCTTACCCTGACCCTAATCTGACCTCTGACCCTGTCCCCTGTCTGACCTCTGACCTACACAGACCATGGCCAAGAACACTCAGATGTCTTACCCTGACCCTAATCTAACCTCTGACCCTGTCCCCAGCCTGACCTCTGACCTACATAGACCATGGCCAAGAACACTCAGATGTCTTACCCTGACCCTAAAATGACCTCTGACCCTGTATGACCTCTGACCCTGTCCCCAGCCTGACCTCTGACCTACACAGACAAGGGCCAATAACGCTCAGATGTCAGCTCCCTTGACCCTGTCCCAGGCTGAGCAGCGGGCAGCGCGCCCATTGCCCCGCCCCTGGGCCCGGCCGGCGGGCGGAACGCGGTGCGCAAACGGCGGGAGCCGGGGGAAGGAGCTGAGCGCAGGACGCCGCTGTCATGGCGGCCTGAGGAGCAGCGGGGGAGGCGCCGGGAGCCGGACGGAGGCGGCCGGAGCAGGCAGGTGAGGCCCCCCCTCCGCTCCCACAGCCCCTAGGGTGGCTCGAGGGGTCTCCCCGCCCCCGCTTCTATTCACCGCTCCCCGGCGTCCGCGCCCCTGAGCACCCCCATGGCTACCGGCCCCCGCCGCTGCCGGGGTCTCCCGGCTCCAGGCCCCCGATGCTCTCTAAGGGGACGAGGCCTCCCCATCGACCCCTCCCCCGCAGCTCCCCTTGTCTGGGCTCCCATCGCCCCCTCACAGCTATCGGGGGTCTCCCTGGCTGCCCCCCCCCATGAACCCTCCCTTCTCTGAGCTACCCCTGGGGGGGGGATCTCCCTTTGGGCCCCCATGGACCCGCTCTTCTCTAATTTAACCCGGGGGAGGGATTTCCTGACTGGGCTCCCCTGGACCTCTCTCTTCTCTAACATACCCCAGGCCAGGGGGTCTCCCTGACTGGGCTCCCCCCGAACTCCTCTGAGCTACCCTGGGAGAGGGGTTTCCCTGACTGGGCCCCCCATGGGTCTCTGGGATCTTCATTGTCCCCTTCCTTTCCATCTACATGAGGGGTGGAGAGAGGGTCTCTTTCTTGCCCACCTACACTTTCACTCTCTACTGCTTTGGTGGAGAAGACGGGGTTAATGTGCTCTGGTGTAAACTAGCAGTTTTCTTGTTGCCTTCGGTGAAAGGTGCATTCCCAGCGCTTGGTGTGAATTGGTAGCTTTGTCTGCCTGTAGGTGTGAGCTATGTAACTTGAGTCTGCCTTTAATATTTATGTGTCCTGTGCAATGAGAGGTTTCTGTCTCCAGGACTCTTTATTTTCCTTCCAGCCCTTTGCCAGTTTGAATTAGTTTCTGATTATGGTCTAAACACGTGGGCATTTGCAGAGACCTCTGTTATGCTCCTCCTGTTGGAGGCAAATAGTTCTACACAGAGGATGCACAGTACATTCAGCTTTAACCCTTTTTGTTCTGAGTGGTTTGCCTGCTACATCCAGGAAACCCCTTGCTTTCTCCCTTGCACTCACACTGACCTCCAAGCCCTAGCTGCTCTGATCTTTGGATAGTATGTCGCTGTGGGAAATCTGTATGTTCTTTTCCCTTTCACTCCTGAGGGTCAGTTTGACTTGACCCTGCCTTAGGACTTGTGGAAGGAAGAAATCCAGGCAATGAGTACTGCACCTGTGTCTCTGGAGCTTTCAGGCAGCAAACATGCACGGTTTTGTATTGGAAAGATAAAAATGTACCTGAAATGTGAAGTTTGACAAATAGGGTGGAAAAATCCTGTTGTGCACCAGCCTAGACAACCAAAAACACTGTATGAACAAGTGAAATGTGACTATGAGACAAGTACGACTGTGCAATTGAAAATACTGGGTGTATGGCTTGCCAGGCTCATTTGAACTGAAAACAAAACCTACCTACCTCCTCAGTTCTTAGCAAACTGAAGAAGAAATAATGAATGATTTTCCCACTGGGCCACTCATGCCAGGCTTGCCATTTGCTTCTGTGCTACCAACATGCTCCTGGGGATGGCATTTCCAGAAAAGTGTGTACACAACTGGCTGTGTGGAAAAGTGCAATCTGGAGTGTGGACAGCAGAACAGATCCAAAGAAAGAATCCAGCAAAATTGGTAAATGATCAATTTCTTTCAGGAAGGTAGCCCTGACCCATTGTCTAGGGTCTGGAAATGAGTCAGAAGATCTGGGTTCTGTATCCATCTCTCACCGACTCGCTATCTTCTTGAGCAAACTATTTCACCTTCGAGTCTGTTTACTCATCTGTAAAATGCGGATAGTAATACTTACCTAGTCTTGGAAAGCACTTTGAGAGCTACTGATGAAAGTACATAAATGCAAAGTTATGCTGTTTCATAGGTCACACAAAAAATAAGCTGGAGGAAGGGAATGTTTCCTATAGGGCAGCCATAATTTCATGTTGCATTTGTGATGCTGATTGTCCTTTGATAAATTACCTTAAAATATTTCTTTCATCTACATAGCAATCGCTTTTCATCAGGCTTAAAAAATCTATTTAGTCTTAATCTGGTAGCCTCAAATGATACCCGGAAACCAGAAAGTAACACTATGGTGCCTCTGTCACTTGTGATTTTAAAAATAAAAGAGGTGGAGACTTTGCACAACTTTCACAAGAGGATCAGGAAAACCTACTCTGTCACAATCTTGTACAACACATTCAGCACTTGTAGTGCCTTGGAGGATAGTCTTGTGCTTAAGGCAAATGCCTGGGAGCCATGAAATCCTCATTCATTCACAGTTCTATCACATTCCCTGTGTGACCGTGAGTTAGTCACTTGACCGCTTTGTGCCTAAGTTGCCTTTTCTGTGAAAGCAGATGATAAAACTGATTTACCCCTTAGATGTATTTGGAGACACAGGGTAACTATACTGCCAACACAGAGTGTGATGGCAGCTCAAGTAGACCTACGTGAGCTAACTTTAATCTAACTAGCTTGGATAGTGGAGTAGTAAAGCTGCAGCAGCCTGTGCTTCAGTGTAGGCAGTACAAGCCCACCCAGAACCCTGGGTATTTACTAATGGGACTAATGCGGACAGAAAGGTTAACAACAAGATCTTAAAATTGTCACCAGAATATGTCCTTTGTAACTAGAACATGAAAAAATCATGTCCAATAGTGATTCAGGGCTTAGGAGATCAAGTTCACTGTAGCTTGCACGTGACTTGTAATTTACCACATTTATTTATTTTCTGAACTTGTCAGCTGGTAACTGGATTTGACATTTCAGAACCCAAATTATAATGCTCAGAGTGAAGAAACAGGTCAGATGTATTGGACCAGAATTGAAGACAAAGATTTACCTTTATAAAGAAAGGTTTTTTTTTTTTTTTTTTTTTTTTTTTTTTTTTTATCATTCAAGCCTTGTAATTAACACAAATCAATTTAACTCTGCCCTGTTGGCAAAAATGCACAGTAACCAAGTAAACTAGTGACGGAGCTTTTTCATTTTCCCCTCTGGCTCTGAAAGCAGTTGGAGTTCTGTGTTCCTGCCTTGTTAACTGACAGGTATTCCGATACTATTGGGAAAGATGCACTATACAAGCCTATGTAAGTGGATTATTTTTTACGTATATATAAAGGGTTAAATCAGTTGTTGTTCGTTTGCTGTGTAATGAGTTGTGAGGTGGAAGGAGTCTCAGCCAGTTCCTAGTAAACATCACAAAACCCACCACCAATGTTGTCACCACTTGGTAGTCTCAAAAGAATTGAAAGCCTGAATTGGCCATGGAATCTGAACCCCCCCCCCCTTCCTAGTCCTAAAGGAGCCCTTCCAGGGCATAGGTGAGGCACGTTGGCAGGACAGTGTGCAGGAAGCTTTTAAAGCTAGTGCCTGAGCTGTTGCTGCTCTATGGATAAATAGGACTTTGGCCTCCAGGGCTTAGTCCTGCACTCATCACTAGCACTGAATTATCATGAAAAACGAGGCAAAGCTAAGTGTGGAATGTTACCATCCTGGACATGCTTCCAAGCAGTGCTTTGCACAAAGATGGAGGAAAGAGTCATTAAAACCATTTCTTTTTTGGCAGATTGAAAAATCTAGAATGGCAGGAGAACAGAAACCATCCTGCAATCTTCTTGAGCAGTTTATTTTATTAGCCAAAGGCACCAACGGATCAGCTCTGACTGCTTTGATAAACCAAGTGCTAGAGGCTCCTGGGGTTTATGTCTTTGGCGAGCTGTTGGAGTTAACAAACGTGCAAGAGGTAAGAGTTAAGTTTCTATCTCTTTTCTCCCCCTCTCACCCCCCCCCACTCCTGGTTTAAGGGATCTCCTAGGAATTTCCATGCACATAGTAGACTAGGATGGCAAAATCTCCATCTTGGGGAAAGCCTGACACAATTTACCACAGTTTTCCAATGCTTCTATCATGCCCTGAGTCAAAATGACAGATTTACAGAGAATTGTGAGGACCTGGTATACATGAGGGGATCCCTTTTGTCATATGTATTTATTTGGATTTAAATAATAAAATGATGCCTATGCAAGGCTCCAGGCATCCTAACTTGTGACTGTTAATACAATAAAATTTCAGCAACACTAAAATAATCATTTAAACTACTATTTCAGCCAGCCAGCCACCAGCAAAAAAGCTCCTTTATATTCCGCCATTTTTCTGGGAAGCATACCGTTAGCCTTCTCTAAAACTCCTGTCACAGATGTATTTTGCAGCATGCCCAGAAGATCACCACGTTTGGGCTGTGTCAGAGCAAAATGGGGAGCAAGTTCCAGAATCCCAGAGCCCTCCTGCTCACAGAGTGTTCTCTAGCTCCCTGTCTCTTACAATGAGTGAGATCTAGCTCCAGCACCTCTGCTGATTGCTGTTATGGCAGTATGGCACACAGGAAGCTCAGCTTTCCAAACAGGCTTTTGTGCATGGCCAAAAATGCCGTCAACAGTTTTTAGCATCAATTTATATTTTTGGTTTCCTCCCAGTTTTTTCATGCAGCAAATCATGTAGATTAGGAGAACTGAAATACCAACCCAGGCTAGTGTAACAGCTGTTGTTCCAGTGCAATATTTGCTTGTCAGAGGAAGTACAGAACTTTGAGGCAGACAACTTAAAATGCTCTAACCTGCTTTGCTTTTAGATTGTTTGTGGTTTTGCAGGTTAACTGTTTCAGTTTCCCAGTGGCCAGTAAGGATTCTTAACCAACCAGCCCCATAATCTGCTCATCTGTCATGTGATAAGAATACACAGCTGAATTGAAGGGGACACGTTCTTCATTTTCTCTCTTAAGATGCTGCATGAAGCAGCTGACTGTATAAACTAAACTCAAGTTCTAATACATGGAATTGGCTGTATCATCCTGATTCTAAACTACTGAAATGTTGTGCTGATTACATGACTTTGGAAAGGGTCCAGCCCTCTGACAACTGAAAATAGCCCTTCTTTTATGTATTTTTAAAAAGATACATATTCTGTGTGGAATTAAAGCCAACACTGTGGAGAAGCTGTATACCAATATCCTATTGGCTTACGTAAGATTTCTTTTGCTTTCCTCCTCTCCAGCTTGCTGAAGGGCCTAATGCTGCTTATTTCCAGTTGCTGAACCTGTTTGCTTACGGAACGTATCCAGATTACGTAGGTAAGAGATTGCACTTCACGAATGCTCTTAGAACCTGGTGAAGATTGAATGGGCTGTGAGTGGGGGTAGTGCAGTCTCTTCAGAACTAGCTTGTGCAGCTTCTCATTTTTCCAGCCAGGAAGCTCAAGGTAGCTGACTTACCCAAGTGTGTGATGTCTCCATGAATGTGGCAGGTTGAAAGGATCTAAGGGTAGAATTCTGTCTGTCAGAGGCTTTCTGGATGAGTGGGGGCTACCCAGTTTATTGCACCCAATGCAGCATGTATGATTACCTGCCCTATGTGTGTATTCAGTGCAAGGAGCTCCTGGCCCTCAGAGACCGTGTACGGGCTTTGGAGACCAGGGTGGTTGAGCTGGTTTAAGGGAGACAGAGAGGTACATAGATGAGACTTTCTGGGACACAGTAGAATGGTCTGACAGCCTCTGTGCTGTTGAGGAGGGTGAAAGTCTCAGGGAAGGAGAGCATCGAACTGGAGCAGAGGGAAACGATCCCATAGTTGGGACCCTCCTTCCAGATGATGATGTGGTATCCTCTCACACTGAGGATACCTCTCCGGGGGAGAGAACTCCAGTTATTAGGAAGAGGCAGATATTAGTAACGGGTGATTCAATCATTAGAAACATAGATATCTGGGTTTATGATGACCGGGAGAACTGCATGGTGACTTGCCTCCTGGTGCGAAGGTAGCGGATCTCTCGGGGCATATAGATAGACTTATGTGTAGTGCTGGGGAGGAGCTGGTGGTCATGGTATATGTAGGTACCAAGGACATGGGGAAGGATAGGAGAGGGGTCCTGGAGGCCAAATTTAGGCTGCTAGGTAAGAGATTGAAGTCCAGGAGCTCCATGGCAGCATTCTCTTAAATGCTTCCAGTTCCACGCGCACGGCCAGTTAGACAGACAGACAACTGCAGGGTCTCAATGCGTGGACGAGATGATGGTGTAGGGAGGAGAGGTTTAGATTTATTAGGAACTGGGGAAACTTTTGGGAAAGGGGGAACCTATATAGGAAGTATGAGCTCCACCTAAACCAAAATGGAACCAGATTGCTGGCATTTAAAATTAAAAAGATTTTAGAACAGTTTTTAGACTAAGGGCTGGGGGAAAGCCGACATGTGCGGAGAGCACATGGTTCGGACAGAGACATCCCTTAGGGGAGGATCTACTAATAGAGATTCTCTATGTCCTAGTAAGGAGGAGAGTATGGAAAATAAAATACAGGTAGGATCTGATGAGAAACAGTCAAATGAAAAAAAAGTCTCATTCAATTGCATCATTCAGTTGTAATGGGAGACAGCTAAAAAGTGACAAGTTTTTAAAGTGCTTATATTCCAATGCTAGAAGTCTAAATAATAAGATGGGTGAACTAGAGTGCCCCATATTAAATGAGAATGTTGATATAATAGGCATCACAGAAACTTGGTGGAATGAGGATAATCAATGGGACACAGTAATACCAGGGTACAAAATATATCGGAAGGACAGAATAGGTCGTGCTGGTGGGGGATTGGCACTCTATGTAAAAGAAAGTGTAGAATCAAATGAAGTAAAAATCTTAAATGAACCCCAAACTGTACCATAGAATCTCTATGGATAGTAATTCCTTGCTCGAATAATAAGAATATATCGGTAGGGATATATTACTGACCACCTGACCAGGATGGTGATAGTGACTGTGAAATGCTCAGGGAGATTAGAGAGGCTATTAAAACAAAAAACTCAATAATAATGGGGGAATTCAACTATCCCCATATTGACTGGGTACATGTCACCTCAGGACGGGCTGCAGAGATAAAGTTTCTTGACACTTTAAATGACTGCTTCTTGGAGCAGCTAGTCCTGGAACCCACCAGAGGAGAGGCAATTCTTGATTTAGTCCTAAGTGGAGCACAGGATCAGGTCCAAGAGGTGAATACAGCTGGACCGCTTGGTAATAGTGACCATAATATAATTAAATTTAACATCCCTGTGGCGGGGAAAACACCATAGAGGCTCAGCACTGTAGCATTTAATTTCAGAAAGGGGGACTACATAAAAATGAGGCGGTTAGTTAAACAGAAATTAAAAGGCACAGCACCAAAAGTTACATCTCTGCAAGCTGCATGGAAACTTTTTAAAGACACCACAATACAGGCTCAACTTAAATGTATCTCCCAAATTAAAAAACATAATAAGAGAACCAAAAAAGAGCCACCGTGGCTAAACAACAAAGTAAAAGAAGCAGTGAGAGGCAAAAAGGCATCCTTGAAAAAGTGGAAGTTAAATCTTAGTGAGGAAAATAGAAAGGAGCATAAACTCTGGCAAATGAAGTGTAAAAATATAATTCGGAAGGCCAAAAAAGAATTTGAAGTACAGCTAGCCAAAGACTCAAAAAGTTTTAGCAAATTTTTTTTAAATACATCAGAAGCAGGAAGCCTGCTAAACAACCAGTGGGGCCACCGGACAATTGAGATGCTAAAGGAGCACTCAAGGACGATAAGGCCATTGTGGAGAAACTAATTGAATTCTTTGCATCGGTCTTCACGGTTGAGGATTTGAGGGAGATTTCCAAACCTGAGCCATTCTTTTTAGGTGACAAATCTGAGGAACTGTCCCAGATTCAGGTGTCATTAGAGGAGGTTTTGGAACAAATTGATAAATGAAACAGTAATAAGTCACCAGGACCAGATGGTATTCACCCAAGAGTTCTGAAGGAACTTAAATGTGAAATTGCAGGACTACTAACTGTAGTCAAATGACTGGAGGATAGCTAATGTGACGCCAATTTTTAAAAAGGGCTTGTAGTGAGGCAGCTGCCCCATTCTGGTGTGGAAGGGGTTAGAGAAAGCCAAAGAGGCTGCGCAGAGCCCCAGCCAATCATGGAAGGGCTTAATGGGAGCCAATCAAGTGGAGGCTTGAAAGCAGCCAATCAGGGCCAGGCTGGGCCCTATAAGAAGGCTGCAGGGCAGAGAGGAAGGCAGTCTGTTCCTGGAGGGCAAAGGGAGAAGAACTGGCTCTTAGAGAGAGAGAGAAGAACCTAAGACAGAGCAGGGCTGGGCAGGGTCAGCAGGGGCTGGGAGAGCTCTAGGCTGATGACTGCCAGATTGGGGCCCTGACACAAAGGGGCAGAGAAGGTGCTGGGGCTATGGGGAAGTGGCCCAAGAAAGTAGGCCCTGAAGGGGCTATACTAGAGACTGCAGTTGGCCACTGAAACAAGTAGAAGGACTGAGGACCGTCTGTCCCCCGAAAGCGGGGAGAGGGGGCACAGCTGAAAGGAAGTGTCCCGAAGAGGACGCCACAGTCCGGGAGCGACACGGGTCCAGATGGTGGAGACGGTGGAGGAAGTGGAAGTAACAGTGAGTGAGACACTGCTAGTAAAAGGTGCCCTGGTGGGCCAAGAGAGCTAATTCCCAGCAGGACCAGCAGGAGGCGCCCTGGCGGTGGGTCTGCACCGTTACGTGGCTCCAGAGGTGACCCCGGCAATTACAGGCCGGTAAGCCTGACTTCAGTACCGGTCAAACTAGTTGAAACTATAGTAAAGAACAAAATTGTCAGACACATAGATGAACATAATTTGTTGGGGAATAATCAATATGGTTTTTATAAAGGAAAATCATGCCTCACCAATCTAGTAGAATTCTTTGAGGGGGTCAACAAGCATGTGGACAAGGGGGATCCAGTGGATATAGTGTATTTAGATTTTCAGAAAGCCTTTGACAAGGTCCCTCACCAAAGGCTCTTAAGCAAAGTAAGCAGTCATAGGATAAGAGGGAAGGTTCTCTCATGGATTGGTAACTGGTTAAAAGATAGGAAACAAAGTAGGAATAAAAGGTCAGTTTTCAGAATGGAGAGCGGTAAATAGTGGTGTCCCCCAGGGGTCTGTACTGGGCCCAGTCCTATTTAACATATTGAGAAATGATCTGTAAAAAGGGGTAAACAGTGTGGTGGCAACATTTGCAGATGATACAAAACTACTCAAGATAGTTAAGTCCGAGGCACTGTGAAGAGCTACAAAAGGATCTCTCAAAACTGGGTGACTGGGCAACAAAATGGCAGATGAAATTCATTGTTGATAAATGCAAAGTAATACATATTGGAAAACATAATCTTAACTATACATACAAAATGAAGGGGTCTAAATTAGCTGTTAGCACTCAAGAAAGAGATCTTGGCGTCACTATGGATAGTTCTCTGAAAAACATCCCCTCCGTTTGCAATGGCAGTCAAAAAAGCTAACAATGTTAGGAACCATTTGGAAAGGGATATACAGTAAGACACAAAATATCATATTGCCTCTATATAAATCCATGGTATGCCCACATCTTGAATACTACGTGCAGATGTAGTTGCCCCATCTCAAAAAAGATACATTGGAATTGGAAAAGATTCAGAAAACGGCAACAAAAATGATTTGGGGTATGGAATGGCTGCCATATGAGGAGAAATTAATAAGACTGGGACTTTTCAACTTGGAAAAGAGACGACTAAGGGGGGATATGATAGAGGTCTATAAAATCATGAGTGGTATAGAGAAAGTAAATAAGGAAGTGTTATTTACTCCTTCTCATAACACAAGAACGAGGGGCACCAAATGAAATTAATAGGCAGCAGGTTTAAAACAAACAAAAGGAAGTATTTTTTTCACACAATGCACAGACAACCTGTGGAACTCCTTGGCAGAGGATGTTGTGAAGGCCAAGACTATAACAGGGTTCAAAAAAGAACTAGATAAATTCATGGAGGATAGGTCCATCAATGGCTATTAGCCAAGATGGGCAGGGATGGTGTTCCTCGCCTCTATTTGCCAGAAGCTGAGAATGGGCGACGGGATGGATCACTTGATGATTACCTGTCCTGTTCATTCCCTCTGGGGCACCTGGCATTGGCCACTGTTGGAAGACAGGATACTGGGCTAGATGGACCTTTGGTCTGATTCAGTATGGCCATTCTTATGTAAATCTTTTTTTCATCTGACTATGGAAGAACAGCAATAGCCAGACTGTTACGTGCTGGTCTAGACGTTTAGAGTGGGCATTTTACTAGCCTCTCTTGGGCTGAATCACTGTGACATGAATTGACTTGCACCGGTATTCACGCTCTCTTCCTAAGATTCAAAACACACTCATTCTGCAGAGGACAAACTCTCCATCTCTTTTGAAATTAGAGTGGTACCGATTAGAGAATCTCCCCTTCCAGGGGTTTGTAACCTATTCTTGAAAATCCATTCTGAATTGAAACTTGGTAAACAAGGTTTGTATCATGTTTTGTGTAGTGAATGTGTGTGTGAACAAATACAGTATTTGTGTATGCGCATAGGCTGTTAGACAAATAGTCCATTTTTATGTGCAAAAGTTCAGTTTGAATTTATTTGTTGTGATAATTTTGCATGCAGATTAGGCACACAGTTGCATGTGCTTTTCACACACAATTGCACATGTCTGTCTTTGGAAACTGGCCCCTCGCTATCTGTTTAAATAAAAGCACTGCATCTACTAGTGAGTTCTTAGAAGTGTAATTATCAATGTCACAATTTGACTGGGTTGAGTTGCTTGTCTCCACTTGAATGTCTTAAACATCTTTGTTTGGGAGATACTTGGCAGGAACTAAACCTGTGCTGTAGTCTAGGCTTTGCTGTGTTTTTGGAATACTGAGAAACTAGCTACAAAGGGAAGAATCTCAGAAAGGAACAGCTTTTCTAGTCAGCCTTAAAACAGGCCAGAGAGCCTTCTTGCTTGGAAACCATTGGCTGTACTCAAGGGTGTCATACAAAAGCCCTATCTTGCTCCTAGGCTTCTATAACCTCTTCATGTGGCAAAGCAAAATAAAGACATGTCCACCAGGATGCCACCTTGGAAATAGCCACTTGTATATAATTTCAAAGGCACCAAATCTGAATCAGGATAGCATGTCTATCTGAAGGTGCATTCTAACCTTGCTATGCCTTTGTGCTTGCACTTCAATTCTGATGCAGTGCAGTACTTAATATTTGTGAGCAGCAGCCTGAATCCAGAGTATCACAATGCTTTACAAATAAGTCTGCCCAGAATGTCATTGATGCCCATCACAGTAGTATCTGAGCACTTGAGTTGTAAAATCTGGAGAACAGCTTTAGTAGATGTATTGGGGTGAAAGCTCCGGTAGATATGGAGCCAGCACAAGCTTCATGAATTCTTTGCAGTCTGTGGGTCTCTAGGATGTGACCAGTTAGAGGACCAGTCTGCTCTGCATGAGTGTTAGATCCCAGGGCATGGCTTGTAAGAGTAGGGATGTTCACTAATATCCTGGACTTCAGCTTCCCCTTCCCATGTAAGTAAGATAGTAAGGGAGAGAGTAATCACCGCCTTCCAAATAAAAATGGGTACGGGACAGAGGAGGCCAAAATGGAAAGAATTGGGTGAGATGAGTAAGATAACCTTAGTGTCACGGAAATACTAACTCTTTCATTAACACATGTATTCCAAAGAGCGCCTTTGCTTTTGAAAGCAGCCAGCCTCCCTTCTGTTTGTGAATACACTAGAGGCATGTGGATACTGCGGTGATAGGATGGCCATAGAAGAATCTAGATTAATAATTTCTCTTCTCTCCATGAACCTGATGTTTGACACTTTCATGCATAATTCCCAAGCACTTCAAAGTAGTAAGTATCATCCACATTTTACAGTTGGTGAAACCAAAGTCCAAGGTTTTGTTAGCATGAGCTTACTGAAAGAGGACAAATAGTTTGGTCTTGGAAACAAAATATTAACCATATGTCTTGGCAGGATTTCACCTGTAGACATGTGAATTATGTTCTGTATTTTTGTGGTTCTGGTTTTGGAATTAGAACAGTTAATAACTGACTTTCTTTTTAATTCTGCCTCTGTTTCTCCTTGGGTATGGTCCAGCTGTTACCTATGGCAGCACTGCCTTCTCAGTAGCACCCCTTCGTAGCAGCAGGAGTACTTAGTGCTACTGACTTCTAGGGTGTAACTCAGTCGAAGACTTTAATCTGAAGGTTTTGTTTAATTCTTGAAGGAAAATCCGTAACTTTGTTCTCAATTTTTTTTTTACATTGAACAGCAAACAAGGATAACCTGCCAGAGTTAACGGGGGCCCAGAAGAACAAGCTGAAACACTTAACTATTGTAAGCTTGGCTGCCAGAATGAAGGTAAAATATAGAAATCTTGGCTAAGTAATGCCAGCCATTTCTGCAAGTGGCATCCAAGTATTGTACTCGGGTTTGCATTAGGCTGCATGTGTGCTCTGGAAAACCTGTGACTGGAAAATTACCTGCAATGTACAGTGCTCCCCTGTATTCATGGGACTCAGTAACTTATGAAGGACTTCCAAGGAGTGAGAGCTTGGAATGGCTGAACAGTTCTATAAAGAGCGAGAAATGGGCATTCTGGGAGGAGAAATCAGATTGGCTAATGGAGGCGGGACCCAATCGCCCATCTACCTCTTGAAAATCTTGTCAATTCTGGGTGGGGAAGGGAATTGGCTATTTTACCTTCCACAGTGCTGCCGCCCCAACCCACTCTCCAGAACTTACTGTAATAAAAGCTTACAGGAATGTCTTATGTGTGGCGTAACCTAATAGTATCTGCTTCCTTTGATACTATTTGATACTTTCCCACTCGCTGTTTACCTGCAGGATGTGTACAATAAATGTTTGTTTGATTGCAAGCTTCTACAAACCCTACTTCCAGACTATGCTCAACTTTCCATTCTGGACCCACAAGTGACTGTTTGTACTTGGATTTCTTGTTTCTAGTGCATTCCTTACTCTGTGCTGCTCAAAGACCTGGACATGAGGAATCTGAGGGAGCTGGAAGATCTAATCATTGAAGCTGTGTATACAGACATTATTCAGGGGAAACTGGATCAGCGCAACCAGGTGCTGGAGGTGGATTTCTGTATCGGCAGAGACATTCAGAAGAAGGACATCAGTAATATTGTTAAAACACTCCAAGAATGGTGAGGCAGGAGGCTCCTCCACCTTGTCTGATTTGCCTTTTAGGAATGTCTCAAAGGAAATAGCTTGCCCTGGTTTTTTCTGAGTCCTGTAAGAATCAAATGTTAGCTTAGTTTCAGCATATTCCATTCATTAGCACTCTTACACCATGAAAAGTCACTTCGCAAAGGGTCCCTCCTGGACAAAAACCCTGATACCCTCTCCAGTATTTCTTACAGACGCTGTCATAGTAATACATCCAGTTGTACTACTGGTTTCAGATTCTGAAGTTACCTCAGTTCTTACCTTAGTTACCTCGGCTTTTTGCTTTAGGGCCTCTCCTACAGTCATGCCAAATTGACATCATGGCCTCAACCTAGAGACAGACATCTTGTAGAATGACACCTTCCTCCTCCTATCATATTAATTTTTCTAATGAGCAAAGACAGATTTGTCCACTAATCCTCTGGTGATGAGAATTACTCAGGCAATTCTTAACAAACTGTATCTCAGAGTCACAGTACTTTAAACTTCACCTCTGAAGTGTTTCAGATATCTCTGTAGGCCTCCCTTCATTGCTGGAGATGAAGCAGACCTCATGCTTTTGGCTGAGACCATCTTGTTCTGGTTACTCTCGTGTATTTTTTATCAAGTTTCCAGTAATCTGCCTTTCAGTCCTGTAGGATTCGTTCATTACCCAAAGGAGTTGCCACTTTTCTAGGCCACAGGGACTGTGACTGATTCCCAGTTGACTACATAATACAGTCACTGCCTAGCCGTTATGGGTACATTAGAAATAACAAAGATTAAGTAGCTGTGGAAGTGTGGTAACCTGGGTCACTTGGTTTTTCTCTTTTCCCTTCTCCACTCCTGCTTCCCCCTCACTACAAGGAAGGAGTGCAGCAGCTTCTTGGATCTTTCTACATTGCTTGGTGTGCAACTCTGAACCCACTTCAGATCCCTTTCCATTCCTTCCCACTGTGAATGGGAGCTGAAGCGGTCATTGAGTGGAGGAGTGTTCTTGTCACCCTGCTTGTTTATTTCTTAGGGGGACCTTGTCAGTGTGACTTTTATTTTCTGAGTAATCTAAAAAAAATCAGTTTCTGATATATCCCCCTTTAAGTAGCAATTCCTGACTTTTTAAAAAGGTTTGAACATGTTTTTTGGCTTCTCTGTGGTGGATCTAATAGAGCAACTCCACCAGACATGCTGGGACCAGCCCCTGCTTCCTCTCTGTTCACACACCTCTCTACTGCCTCTTTTGTTTGGCTTTGCTACTGCTGGCAAATATCTTCTTACAGGGCGCAAGGAAGTGTATACATGTGAGCTCCTTCTAGACTGGCCATCGACAAAGCAGCAAAACTGAGTAGATACATGTTCAAACCTTTTTACACAAAGTAAACACTGAAACAATAGAATAAAACATCTTTTTCCACTCAGTTCTTTCAACTCTAATCATCTTTGCTGCTAATGTTAAATATAAGCCCCCAAACTTTCAGACAGAACTGTTTTGTTTTGTTTTTTTCAAACTGAGTGTCCCTTTCAAACTGTCCAGCATTGAACACACGAGTGTTGTTACATTTTCAGGTGCGATGGGTGTGAAGCGGTTCTGTTAGGAATCGAACAGCAAGTGCTTAGAGCCAACCAGTACAAAGAGAACCACAACCGAACTCAGCAGCAGGTAGAGACAGAGGTAGGTGTAGAATCACTCCTGTCTGCTCTGGTGATGAGCGTGTCAGATACACCTTCAAGTTTCTCTTTGGTGAATTTCTGTGCTCATTAAAGTGAGAAACTAAGGGGCCTGGCTAACACATAGTGTGAGCAGGAGTCTTGTAACCGTCCTTTGCACTGCACTGCCGATGTCCCTCAATTCTTACCTTGCAGCACTCCCTGCTATTCAGTCCAGGGCTTCTGCTAGGTGGAGACTGACAATCATGCCACACAGGTGTGCTAATCTTGTGGTGCACCCTCTAGGAAAGAACTTGGATTCCTCCTCTTCACAACCATATTAACTTCACTGATGGGCTAAGCCAGATTTGACCACTGACCTTCTGATGTGTGGGTTTCTGAGTCCTCCTTTATAAACTTGCTGGGACCTCCTTGCGTTGATTTGTTAGGAAACCAATTTTTTAACACACAAAACACGACGGAAATCTGATGTTTCTACAACTTTAGATTTCACTGTGAATAATGAAAATCCAGAAGGAATAAGAAAAAATAGTTAATTTATTGTAAACCTAGGAATGTCGTTAAAAATCTCTCCATAGCCATTCCTAGACATCCCTCTGAATTCCATCTGAAGTGGTGAAAGTGTGGTAAATTCTTTCCTTAGAAACCCTAAATTGTAGCTGCAAAAAGTGTGTTTGAAAACTGCTTCCATCACTGAGAGTGCCTCATTTGTTAACCCTGCAAACCTGGACAGCCCTCTGCCATCCCAAGGGACTACATTTTCAAAACTGTCTAGTGATTTTGGATACCCAACATAAACTCCCTTAATAGAGGTTTGTCATTCACTGGATGAGTCCTCAACAATTTCTGAAAGTCTGGTCGATTTAACGTGTCCACTTGAGTACCCCCAAAATGACACCCAAAATCCTGAAATCGCTTTTTGAAAATTTGAGCCAAAATGTTTTTCCCCTATTCCTGTAATATTCAGAGATGGCCAACAGAGGGCAGCATAAGCACATGGTTTTAGTCTCTGCTGATTGTATTGCTTGTGAAAACAAAACTACAACTGCAAAAGTGAGAGCAGTCCTCCTGAGACTGTAGCTCGAGGTTTGTTTCTTGCAATCCTGCATCCCAGTAGGTTCATGCTGGTCTTTTGAAGCTGTTTATATGCAGTGATTTGACTGGTACCCAGGACACATTTGAGGAGTCCGGTGGCACGTTAAAGACTAACCGATTTATTGGGGCATAAGTTTTCGTGGGTAAAAAACCCACTTCTCCGTGCATCTGAAGTGGGTTTTTTACCCATGAACGCTTAAGCCCAAATAAATCCGTTAGTCTTTAAGGTACCATCGGACTCCTCGTTGTTTTTGTGGATACAGACTAACACGGCTACCCCCTGATACTTAGGACACATTTGGTTTGCCGGGTGTTTCTAGCCCTGGGGAGTCTGGACTCCTGACTTCTATGCTCATTTCAGGCTGCATTTGTTTTTGTCAGTTCACTAATTCTTTTCGTGGCACCCCCCTGAGGTCCGGTGTTTGGAGGGTGAGGTGCCATGCAGATGGCACTTCCCACTGTTTCCTGGTGCATGGGGAGCATACCACTGTGTGCTTGCTCGTCGAACACACCCCAGGTCTTGAGGGTAGCCTCCATTCCTACCTTGGAGGAGAATTGTGGATCAGCTGGCTGATTGGTCCGAATGGTTTTCCCTTCCCTTCGCTCTGCAGAGCTGTTCTAGGTGTGGGGTATTTTCCTCCCCACGTATCCCAGGCTCTCCCTGACACTTGAGATCTGTGGACCGGTGAGCTGGCTGCCTCCTGCAATCAGGCAGTGGAAAGTCTTTCTTGCTTGTCACTGTGCTACTCCTGGTGTCTAGTAACCGGTATCTGCAGCCCCCAGTTGCCTCCAAGCCAGGTCTAACATGGAGTATTATCAGGTCAGGTCATCTAATACCAACACCTAATAAAATCAGATTGAGAGAATGTGTGTGCATGGGGAGATTTGTATCCAGTGATGAGTTACTCTTCGAACTCAAGGGCATTTCCATCCTGTGCTTAGGAAGGGGCTTCCTCTCTGCAGTGGGGGTGAAAGAAGCAAATGCTCATTCGCTTTCTCTTTTCGCCCAGGTCACAAACATAAAGAAAACATTAAAAGCCACGGCCTCATCATCAGCACAAGAGATGGAACAGCAGCTGGCAGAGCGGGAGTGCCCTCCCCACGCAGAGCAAAGGCAGCCCACAAAAAAGATGTCCAAAGTCAAAGGGCTGGTCTCCAGCCGCCACTAGAACCTGCCACGTAGCCATCATTCAGCCAGGAGTGACGACAGAAGGAGCGACAAAGGCCCCGTGTCTCCTTTTCGGTGGGTTCTGGGCCAGGCCTCTCCAAGCTGGCAAATATAAAAGCCCTGTTTGAATACAGCCCCAAACCGGCCGTGCCTGGCTAAGCTACACTGTGCAAATCTCATTCACATCCAAGATGCCACCTGTTCTCCTAGGCCTTTAAAGAGGGACTTTCAGCCAGAGAGAATTCCCACAAGGGGCAGAAAACCTGCGACACCAGGGGAACGGAATCTCTGTGGAAGGTTTTGCTCCCTCCCAGCCAGCCTTCCCATGCTCCCTCTTGTGAGGAGTTTGCCATGCTGATTTAGAGTTCAAGATAACGTCTACCATGGCAACTGGCTGAATCCCAAGATTGGGACTTGGCTATTGAAGCTCCAGGCTGGGAGAGAGGAAGCTACCAACACAGACTTCTCCAATCCCAAAGGGAAGGCAAAACATTACTAGGCCAGAAGCAGCGCTACATTGAAATCTTCAGCCTTCCCCAGATCCCTCTGTATTTTAATTCACACTCTACCTCTCTCTGTGAAGGTGAGATCCAGTGCTGGGCTGTGTTTACTAATCTCTTTACTGCCCTATTAATCTGCCACTGATTTAAAGAACTAGGCTACGGCTGTGAGGCTTCAGCACAGCAAGGAGGAAGCAAGCTGCTCTCTCTCGAGCTCTCCGTATTACAGCTGGCTGGGGACCTATTGGAAGTCACGTTCCTTCTCAGTGTGTCTGCATCCCTCCCAGGGCTGCTTGTGAATTGTTCCCTTCCTGAAATCTTTAAAGCATAATACCGTAAATCTTCCTTGGAGACGACGTTTGGTGTGGAAGAGGAGCCGCTGTGGCTTGGTGGCAGGCCAGTGGCCCAGAACCCGCTGACAGGCGTGGCAGTGACATCCCCTTGCTGAAGCGATGGACTTTACTAGCCTTTCTGAACTTGAACAGTTTCAGGTTGTATTTTACTCACAAGCAGCCCTGGGAGTTTTGTACATTGTTGTGACTCTAAAACATTTGACCCTTTTTTGTGTTTGATATTTGTTACAGGCTAACTTCAGGGGACTTGCACCTCGTGGGGGAGGTTGGTGGCTGTTTGTGTTTTGTTTTTTTTTTTAAAGGGGAGGGCAGGGTTGAGATCTAAACTGCAATTCACATGAAAAAGTGCATTTTGGAACCAATTAAATGCTGATTTAATGTAGGAGTGGAGTCTTGGCTTTGGAGCAGCCGTGGGCAAGCCCTGGCTAGGCTAGCTGGGTACTGACATGGCCCTCGTGGCTGGGTTATCGGAGTACCTCGCTGACACCTGACTCCATCCTCACGCGCACCTGGCAGGCAGGGAGGTGTCCTTCCCATTGTACAGATAGGAGCTGAGATGCAGCGAGATGTGACTTGCCCAAGTTCATGTAAGTGGTCTGTGTCAGAGCCAGGACCTGCACCCAGGTCTCCTGAGTCTTAACCCCTTACGCACAGGACCAGCAGGAATGAGACTGTCATACTTTGCTATCGCAGTCTGCACAAAGCGAGGCACTCCCGGGGAGGGACAGTCAGCTTGTCTGAGCACTATTTCACAGCCTGGCCCATCTTCCTTTCAGTTTATCCACCCACTCTGCAGTGAGAAGCAACTTCTGTGCTGGGAAAGGCCGGCTGTATAAGCAGAAGCTCATGTCTGCTATGGGAACCAAAGGATCCTTCGGTACAAAGAGCAGCATTTCTGAGGCTTTTCTAGGGGAACACGGGGCCAGGACCTTGCTATAATTCAACCACCAACAGCTTCAGCTCGCCTTACATAGGTGTGTCCCATGCTAGGCACACACCCACCCTCCTCTTATTGGTAGCTTGAATTCTTTGCTCTCTGCACATTCCCATTCTTTACCCTAGAGCATGTTCTAGGGTTTGGCATGAGTCTGCAGAAGTAAATGACTCTTCTCACCTATGCACAGACACAACCACCACTAATAGTGGAGACAGGTGGACTATCTAAAATACCTTTAACCTGACATGTGAGGAACAAGGCTGTCTCTGGATTAGCTCCCTTGATTCCTGACTGTTTTCCTCTTCTGTGCCCCCACCCCCTCCCCCCCAAGCTCGCAAACTAACTAAAAAGCCCAAGTGCTGGTGACAGATGCTGTATTGACAAGCCTAGAGCATGAAGTTGTCTTTGTAGTCTTTGAACATATCCCTTCCCTAGGCAGCAGCTGTGCTAGCTTTTCCACGCTGCCTGGCTAAAGGTGCCTCTACTCTGCCGGGCGGGAAGAAGCGTGTGAGCTTCCTGCATGCTCACTCCTTGGCCTCTGGGGGGCTACGTTGGATTTTTGTGATGTGGGCCCCCAGACTGAGCCCCACTGGGGAATTCAGGGTACAGTGCTGCACGGCCACTGCCCACAGGGGGAGGGATAGCTCAGTGGTTTGAGCATTGGCCTGCTAAACCCAGGGTTGTGAGTTCAATCCTTGAGGGGGCCACTGAGGGACCTGGGACAAAATCAGTACTTGGTCCTGCTAGTGAAGGCAGGGGGCTGGACTCGATGACCTTTCGAGGTCCCTTCCAGTTCTAGGAGATAGGATATCTCCATATATTATAAAAACTGTTGTCAGTCATTGTGCAAACCCCCACCCCCAAAAAGACTGGCTGTGAACTGGTGCCCTAGAGGTGAAAGGGCTCCGCGGCCACATTCTCAATCTCCTGAGCCTCCATCCTCACCTGTTCTACTGCTAGCTCATGTCCAACACCTGCCTTTTTGTGAGGAGGCAGGTTCAAGTTGACTGTCTTGAAAGAAGCTGAGGTCTTCAGTAACCAGTGGCCTGCAGGGATCAGATGGGTGAATTGGCCTAGTTCGTGTTCTTTGCCCGTCTCACCCACTGTGCTGTGCTGAAGGGGCGCAGCCTCAGTCTGCCGAAGCCGCCTCACCCTCAAGTTTTTACACTGTCATGAGCTCTATGCAAAAATCTGAAAACCCCGTTGATGCTCAGGCCTTATTTTCACGGCTGTGTGCAGTGCCTTCGTTTAGTAGAGAAACAAGGGAAAGCTGCGCCGTGCCTTGAGTAAAGAATGAATTCTTACTTCTGTGCACTGTGGTGAGAGAGCTGGGGGTGGAGCGCAGAGGAAAACAAGCTACTTTGCCCTAATCACTTACATGTTTGAGTGCGGACCATGTGCTGTACAGAGAGAGAGCGAATCCCTGCTCTGAGGGCTGGGTCTGAGACAAACCTTGCTAAATGAAATCCAGTGCATGGGGGAGATGCACAGCCCTGCTGCAGCTTGGGAATTGAGCTTTGAGGGAAGGCTTGGAAGTCATTCCAGGAGCAACGGGACAGCGTGGCCACAGACAGCATGGGAAGGCGTGGGAACGCCCAGTGACTGCAATGGACGCTGCTGCCTGGAGTTGAGCCGTGTAGGAGTTTGGACAACCAGCTTAATGTGGTAATGGACGTTGAATGACAGAATGAAGGGCTTTAGATGACCGGTGGGGAAGGGGGTGGAGCCTCTAGCGCCTCTCGAAACGCCACAAGAGGGACGTGGAAGTGGAGAGGTGGATCTGTGCTGCGCAATAAGTGATGTGAAAGCCGATCAGTTGGGCTCGCCTGCTCCGTGCCAGCCTATGCTAGCTGCTTCTGCTAACATGCAACGTGCCCCAGTCGTGCCTCCCAGGTGTTGGGGATAGCTTCATGCCAGACTCCATTTTACGGTCGCAGCAGGCTGGTGATCATGCTGCTCCCGATAACGCCCATTTGCCTCCTGCAGCTGCGAGGTGCCAAGATCCTTTGCCTCAGCTGGAGAGACAAAGCAGAGGGAGCAGTCGCCCCTCCCCTCCCTTCTTCAGCGCTTTACTGTCTTGCTTCGTATTCTGCACTTCCCCTTTCATTGGTGCTTGTTCACTATGGAGCTGAGCACGGAGCCGGAGAATGGCAGCAAGGGACGCAGCCTACTGTTGCACTAATAGGCTGCCGTATCTCTGAGCTGTGCCTCCTCCCAACTCATGTCTATTGGCACCCCTGCCATGGCTCACAGCATGCCAGATAACGTCAGGCATTTCTGGGACAGGGCAGAGCAACAGGGGATGCTGATTATTAATTTGTCTTCTGACTGCTTGAAACCTGTTCCTCTTCCCTTTCCTCTACCTGTCGGAAAGACAGATCCAACAATATCCAGTCTTCTGTCAAGCACAGTAAGAATAACACTCCGCTACACTGATAGGTCCTTCTGCATTTAGACCTGGGCTCCGATCCTACACCTGCCTCTGCGTTGACTGAAATGCAGGGGTCTGCCCCTTTGAAGCCAGTTGCAAGATTGGGGGCTTGCTCCTCAAGCTGATACCCCAGTGACAGTACTGGGTTGCTTGGGATCTTCAGCTACCTATCCGATACTCTCAACAGGAGTTGGGGGGAGGCTGTGGTGGTTCAGAATGCCAGTGGGAAAGAGTTCTCCCCATGAAGGAGAGCTGCAGCAAGATACAGCCCCGGTACTTTACGCTTCCATCTGCCCTGCACGGTGAATTCTAGTGAATAACATTCGGTTCCTGTTGGGAGAAGAAAATACACAAACCCAGTGTCTTTAAAATTCCACCTATCCTATGGGAAAGATGTGTGGAGTGTTTGAAACAAACGGGGAGCCAGTTTTATTCACTGCAGTGCTGCCAGAAATGTAAATGTAACTATCCTCGTAGTTAGGTTAGATATTAGGAAAACCTTTCTAACTCTCTCTCTTGCTGCAGATTAAGGCCATTACTTCTTGTCCTAGCTTCAGTGGGCATGGAGAACAGTTGATCATAGTCCCCTTTATAGCAGCCCTTCCCATATTTGAAGAGTCTTATCAGGTCCCCACTCAGTCGTCTTTTCTGAAGACTAAATATGCCCAGTTTTTTTTAACCTTTCCTCACATGCCAGGTTTTCTAAATCTTTGATCATTTTTGTTGCCCTCCTCTGGCCTCTCTCCAATTTGTCCACATCTTTCGTAAAAGTGTGGTGCCCCAAACTAGACACAGCACTCCAGCTGATGCCTCACCAGTGCCAGGTGGAGTGTAACAATTACCTCCTGTATCTTACATACAACACTCTCTTGTTA